CCGTCATCTTCTTGCCTGGCGAATCAGCTGTAAATGCGCACAAAGAGGGCTACGCTAATTTGTGGTGTAATAGCTGAAATACTAAGTGCCATGAGGATTTTATATTTGGTATTTATATATCTTAGCAGTGAGGAAATCGAGTGACTTTTATTTTGTTTATGTCTCTCAGATATTATGTTTGGGACAATTTCTTATACGGTCTGGTCAGTGTGGCGACCACAGCGAGTCTTCTATTATGAAGACGGTAGATCGTTAGTGACTAATATCCTCTGCTTTCAAGTCACTTAGTGAATGACGTTGTTTTTCGCCCTTCCGGGCTCGTCTTCACTGAAAGAATATATATAGATATATATACTGTATAAAATTGTCTTTGTCCCAATTATACACGTGCTAGTATAATACCATGGTATATGTGGCCATCTCTCTCCCTCTTCTCATGTTAGTTCACAAAACTTTTCGGGCTTCTGCCCTGGGTTTTCTAATTACTCTCAGCATGCAGGCCAGAGTTAAGTTTTTCTCTTCATAACTCTTTTTTATTCATGTCCTCAGTCGCGAGTTCAGCCTTTGCAGGCGAACTTTAGCGAGACTGCTAGCCTTAGTGATCCTTCCGGACGCTGTCCTCCCGGCCTTACTAGCAATCTAGAGTTATGTTGGGATGGACCTTGTATCCTTAATATGGGTTATATGAGAACCATTCAGGGTGGAATTCTCAACCCAATACATCTTGCTAGAGTAATGGTGAACGATGTCAGCCAATGGAGCGCTATGGTAGCAGCTCAGCACTGTCAACCCTTCCCGGTGACAATCCTCATTCAGGCATTTTCGCTCAAGCTAATTAATTGAAGCGGTGATGTCTGTGCATCCTGATTGGCAACAAATAGAGAACTTGAAGATCCCTCAAAATATAAATGCTCTAAATGAAGTTAGTTTGATTAAGAAACAAAGTTCATTGAGCTGAGGGATAATTGAGATATGAGAAGGGAGAGGTGTATGATATAGTGAGTTAGTTGTTTATGATTGTCACACTGATGACTTCTATAACAATAAGAGATATTAATGAAATAAATTACTAAAATATCACTGTTACGAGTCATACTGATTATGTTTGGGAGAAAATGTTATCTCCCTTGTGATGATACAATGTGACTCATAGTGTTCCTCCTAGTTTAGATGAATGATGAGCAACTGGAGGATGAAGGACAGTTGTCTGGACTGCTGGATGATGGAGGAGACAATGGAACTGTCCCTGGGAACTAGTGTTGAGTGACGAGCTACAAGGACTAGAAAGTTCAGCTCATACACTACATACAAGGAATTGTCCATCAGTAGAGGATGTGAATTCAGTAGAAGTAGTTTCACCCAGTAATTATAAAGGATGTAGAGCCACTTGGATTACCAAGTTAGAGCCTCATTTGGCTTGCATAATTCATAGCAGCTGTGTCTCAGACAACTTGTTGTCACCATTGGATTGTGTAGTCTGTTACGATCAAATTTTAAAAATTAATCAAGCTGCAGGAGATAAGAAAGAATTATTGCTGATCCAACTTAAAATAGATGGAACAAAACCTTGAAGAGTAAATTTCTAAATGTAAAACACTGGAAAGATCCCAAGTTGGCAGAAAGTTTACAATTATGGGTGATAGGTAAGAGACTTAATCCCCAATTAGACCAACCTACTTCTGCTAAGAAAAGTAGGTCATTGGATATTCTAGATAATGAGGTAGTAGGAAGATTACAAGAACCTCTACCTAATCAGTCTGATTTTAGTGGATTCCAGGATCAGGATGAGGAAGTTGGCTCTAATCATAGTGTTCAGTTACCAGAGCAGGGAGAACCTGTTGAGACTGACTTCATCCTGTCCCCATTTTGGCAACCACTTCCACCTGGGGCAAAAGTCTTGGTCGACTGCCAATCAGCTGATGGTTAACATTGAATGTAAGGATGATCCAAACAGGCCTTGGGTAACATTGGTAAGATAGAAGTCTTCTTTGTTTTCAACCACATCTGAGTCTGTGGATTCCTTATTCAAGGTATTTTATGAAAATGTTTCTAAACTTCATGATCTCTCAACACTTACAAAGAGACAGGAAGGCCAAGCAACTGTGGGTAATCATTCATTGTTTCTGGAAAGTGATACTACACTTTCTTGGCCTGATATTTGCCCCAAAATGATCTCTGAATTAGAAATCTGGGCTAATATATTGAAAGATTTTACATTCATTCCCGCAGATAGGAATGCTCACAAGTTTAGTTTTTAAGTTCCGATTTAATGAGAAAAAGAGTTCCTTATATGAACTTTCCCAGTATTTGTAAGGCAGGAAGGACGAAATTAGGATTTCCGAACCATCTTGCTACTGATTCTGTCACATAATGGAGGGTGGTAGATCTATTGAACAATCTAGCAGCCCAAGCTGTGGAATCAAGAACAGTACAGTACTCGGCTTCAAAACAGCCCTAGATAAGACTATCAAAAACAAAGGAGCAAAATTAAGAACCAAAAAGACTGTGAAGAACTATAGAAAGAGTTCTGTCAGCTTCAAGAATGGTCGAAGAAATGGCTGCCAAGATTCAATATCACAAAGTGTAAGAGGAGGCACCTAGGTCAAACCAACAGTAAGGAGGAGTCTCACATGTCCCAATGGGACGAAGAAACTGTCTTAATTGAGACCGAATATGAAAAGGATCTGGGTGTGTATCAAGGTGAATCAAGCAACTTAACTAGTAGGTGGTGGGACCTGGTAACATCACGAGGTCCACAAATAGGGTACCACCCAAATGCCAACAAGTCCTTCCCCATTGTGAAGCCAGAACATTATGAAAGGGCAATGGAGTATGAAAGGGCAATGGAGGTGTTCGGTGGAAGTGAGGTCAAAATAACAAAGGATGGCCAAAGACACCTAGGCGCAGTAATCGGCTCAACGGACTTCAAGACCGAGTATATAACGGGAAAGGTGAATGAGTGGGTTAGGGAAATCCAAGCTTTGTCTAAGATTGCTAACACAGAGCCACATGCGGCATTCACCCATGGAGTGAAGCATCGCTGGAACTACCTGATGCACACTATCCCTGATATCGGACCCCTCCTCCACCCTCGGGAAGAAGCTATCATCGTCAATTTCATTCCCAAATTAGTGAAACACCCTCACTTAACCCCAGCAGAAAGATCACTCCTTGCACTACCACCGAGACTGGGAGGAACGGGATTGACCAATCCAGAGGAGATTGCTGCCACCGATCATCAAAACTCAGTTAAGCTCACGGCAGCCCTCACTGACCACATAATAGCTCAGAACGCAACATGGGAGGTGGATACCAGTGAAATAAACAAGATTCGAAGGTCCATTACGACAGAACGACAGCACGGCCAAAGTGATAAGTTGCAGCAGCTGTTGCTGCAAGTACCAAAGGATTTAAAAAAAAAAGTAGCTATAGTGCAGAAGGTGGGTGCCTCGAACTGGTGAACTATGTTACCGATAAGGGCAAATGGTTTCAGTTTCAATAAACAAGAATTTACAGATGCCAATGCTCTAAGGTATGGTAAGCCAGTAGAAGGTTTGCTCTTCCTATGACGTCGATCACGCCATGGTGTGCAAGAAAGGGGGCTTCATATGCATGAGGCATGATGAAGTAAGGGATCTCACAGCAAATATGTTGAAGGAAATCTGCCGTGATGTCAGGGTAGAACCGACCCTCCTTCCATTGGAAGGTGAGAATTTCCAAAATAGGACTTCAAACATATCCAATGAAGCCTGTGTTGACGTCAGTGCTCGAGGATTCTGGACGCGGGGACAGCGAGCCTTCTTCGACATCAGGATTTTTTATTCCATGGCCGCATGTCACCGTAACTTAGCTCTCGATGCTGCACACAGGAGGAACGAGAACGACAAGATAAGGGCATATGGGGAGAGAATTCAGAACATTGATCAAGGCAGCTTCACTCCTCTAGTGTTCACAACCTCTGGTGGGATGGGACCAAGTGCAAGATGCTTCTACGCCAGACTCGCGGAGGTGCTATCCGAACAGAAGCAGCAGCCCAGAAGTTATGTTACAGCCTGGATGAGATGTCAACTGTCTCTCTCTCTCCAAAGGTTGGCTTTGCTCTGCCTCAGGGGAACGAGAGCATCGGCCCCAAGGCCGACAACAGTTGTAGATATTGACTATGAGGCAACAGTCACTGAATGCTGCATAGATCTGCGACTCAACTAACTCAACACAGCTAGGATAGCTCCTTATATATTAGGATATTTAATTTTAAGGTAATAAAATGGCAGCGAAGGTATGGCTATTAGGGGAGGATGGAGGCCATTAAAAAAAAAATAATAATAATAAATAAATAAAAATAAAAAAATAAATAAAATCTTATAAGAGGGTGGTTCAGATATCTAGACGGTCCGTCCCCCGTAACCATCTTCAAGAGTGAGGTGCTTTCCCGTCTGGAGTATTGTCACCCCATCTGGTCCCCGAGATATGCTAGGGACTGTCAGTTGATTGAAAACGTCCAAAGGAGGGCCACCAGACTGGTGCCTGCACTTTGGTACCTCAGCTATCCAGAGATATTAGAGTGCCTGCAACTGCCTAGTTTATACTACAGACAGGCAAGGGGGGATGTAATTGATGTTATAAACATCTCAGAAGGCACTACTCAGTTGAGTTTCCACACCTGGAGCTGGCGGATGCCCACCCCACAAGGGATCACAGCTCAAGGTCAAAGAAGACACAGGTCCAGAAAACTGTGAGGGCAAACTTTTTGGAGAAATAATTGTAAACTCTTGGAACAATCGGCCAGAGAGTGTTGTGATGGCACTGAGTGTGAGCTCTTTCAAGACTCGACTTGACCATCACTGAAGTAGGTTCAGGTACATTCAGGAGCCAATGCATGCCCAGTACCTGCCAACAGTGCGTAACAGAGACGTGATCGACTGCCCAAGCAACTAATGAGCCGATCAGTGGCGAAGAGGATAAAGGTAAGAGATACTAGCCTCCTTCCATCATGATGATCATCTCTAGTTTGGGTGGCCATTAGAAAAATAAATAAAGGGATTCCTGAATCAATCCTCCATATCTCGTTAATACCCCAAAGTCATGCAGCTCCTGTAATCTTAAGCCAGTTATAACAAGAGAAAGGAGGTGGTTCTACAAAATACTAAGCATTGGACAGATATAAGGTACTGTATATTGCCAAAGAGAGTTGATCCACTGTTATCACTCTTAATTCTCTTATCCCTATAGAGATCTGGCATTATGCAGAGACCTCCAGGAAAGAAAACCCATCGGCAGCCAGAGCCCTAATCTACAAGGGATAACCTATGCCATGTCAGAGATGATTTGATTGAAACCATTTTTGATAATTTAATCATATTCTTGTACTGTATATGTTGTACAGGTTAGAAACAAAGATGGGATTTACCAAGTAGCTAATGAGCCAATCAGTGGCAAAGAGGATAAAAGCAAAAGTAAGGAAATGTTAAGAAGGAATCTACTAGAGAGTTCTACTGTCACCAATAAACCTGTTTATGACCTATCTCTACACTTAAAAGTAAACTAGAGTACTGTATATCATTTAAAAGACTAGAGAAATATACTAACCCTAGAAAACCCAAACATGAAGTTTATAAAATTGTATATGAGTACTAAGGATTATCTCTACCATATCTCTGGGTCAAAACAAGTAAAAAAATTACTGGATGACAGGTGGCTTTGGAAAAAGCTTAAGCAGATAGGAAAACTAATTCCTGCTACTGTAGATCAAAATGGAGTTTTCAAGACTGTCTCAGAAATGTCTTAAACTTTTTCATTATCTCAAACAATTGAGAAAACGAGTTAAAAGATATATATGGGCCAAATAGTCCCAATCCAAAGAGAGAGCATCCACACTAAACAGTACTTGCCTTCTTGAGAAATAATGAAACAAATGGTGAGAAATTGTAATTACCAGACAGGAAAAACAAATTCCCCAAAGAATTATCTAAAAATTAATTCTTCACCAAACCTACATTATCCCTAGCCACTGCATCTATTTGTATATTCAGAGCTCTGGCACTTACAATTAGCTTAACATAAAAGCACATCTGCAGCATAAAACTCATCTCTAGCTTTCCACAAAGGAAAATAATTGGAAGTTCCCTGTTTATTAGTATAGTATCGGTAATGACTAGTGTGTTGCACACAAAATATACTGTACAATACTCCTTCCAAGAATGAACTCTTCTTTGAAAAAATGGAGGAAGAAAAGTACCGATATTGGTTTTGGAATTTAAGCCCTCATTTCCCTTTCACTTCAGTTCTGCCTGATGAATATAATCCTCAACCAAATTTTGATGCATCCAACCTTTACAGTGAATTGCAATCAATAAAATTTAGGGAAGATGTGTTGTACACTATGGTAACAAAGCAGCACATAATGTGTAGAAGTATACCATAACAATTTGAATAGCAATGTACAGTATTTCAAACTAAAATGTAAAAAATTAAAAACAATACCAGGATATAATTTAATACAATACTGTACTGTAATGGAATAATCTTAACTTTTAAATAATATAACATGTGGTTCATAAATAGCACACACTTGTACTTCTTTTCAAGAGAGTTCTGAATACAAGTACTGTTCACGAATTCACATATGCAATAATTAATTTTATGCATGTATGGTATTTTAATACCAAAAAAATGAAGTGAACGTTTTTTGGTTTGCTTATAAACAGCTTGAGTTGATAAACATAACATCAACCCTTTCAGTCCTACACATGTACATCATAAACTTGAGACCAAAGTTCTAGGAAAGTATGAAAAACATTTTGATTTTCCCCAACCTGTTTCAAATATCCTGGAGCAGACATGAGCCATGTAATGATGCTATATACAGTAGTGTTATCATTAGCCGGAATCACCGATTCCTGAAGCTCTCCAATAGCCAGACACTTTTTTTTTTTTTTTTTAGCATTCCGAGAAATTCTATGAAATATCTCTCCGTTCCGGGCACGGGCACAAATTTCGAAGAGATTCTCAAACACAGATGAAACCTATGATCCCAAGATCAAACAGGACTAGAAGCAGTAACTGTATTACCCTATATAAATTTTAATAATATAAGTGGGTTGAGGTGCCTCAGATTTAGTAATAAGAGAATTTAAAATCTTATGCCAATTGAAAATGCACCGGTTGACTAACTACAACCTATGTGGTCTAGGTTCCTGACCCCCACAGGACTTACTTACAATTAATTCATCAATATCAAATGCAAGCATATTCAACTCCCCAGGTATTGAAATGGGAGAATGTGACATATAGGTCTATAAAAACTGAATGGGGGATGTTTGCTTCAAAACATTCACCAATTTCAAAGCTATTCTTGTTCATGTGGTGGCTCAACTTAAGCAGACCATCTGGGGAATATCAACAAACCAAATAATAGGCAGCCTAATGCACAATATTTGTACGAGTTAGTCATAAACACTGCTATGGCTTACCACTTCCAGCAAGTAAACAAATCTTACATAATAATACTGTATATGGAAGTTGTAATATCTGTCCAACTGGTATAACACCTACAGCTATTTCTAAAGCTTTAGTAAAATATTAGAATATAAATAAAACAGGAATGTCAGTCAGCTGCAACTGACCTTTTGGACTCTGCCAGGAACTGAACAGAAAACAAATAACTGAGAGGGTAGACTTGGCTCTAATAAGACCACCTAGTCTCTCAAGGGCAACTGGTGCCTCAAGTCTCCCTCTTTTCAGATTAACAATCATTGTGGGGGCTTGGTGGAGGTACTGTACAAAAGCCCTTAGTACACAGCCCTGTAATACATGAAGTACCTGGTTTTAGGACAATAGTAAAAAAAAAAAAAATACATATTATTGTATGTATGTACAGTACTATATATACAGGTATATGTTACAGTATATACATTACAGTATAGTCTGCATTTACGCGGTTTTTGTTTACTCGTTTGGTCATTTACGCGATGCCTTGCCAGAATGAAAATGTTTGAATTACGCGGTAAATTTGGTCATTTACACTGAGAGCGGCTGGAGAGGACCAGACCGCCGTGCCATTTTTTACCCTCGCGGTACATTCTTGACCATACGCGGGAAGCAGCGCTGTGAGTGGTGCGCATTAGGCCGCTCTTACGTTATCGCTGACGTCATATGACGTATCGGACTGTGATTGGGCCACGCATCCTTACCACTCACGCATTCCCTCCGCCGCTAGCTGTGATTGGTCTAATGTAACATGACGTGCCCTGCCACCGGAGGGTAGAAGTCGCTGACCTAGCAGGGCCTGTCTCATTGTTCTCAGTCCGCGTATTCAGTTCTCTCTGCCCGCTATTTCCCTCACAACTCACAATGGCTTCCGCGGGACCCCCCACCACCAGAGAAAAACATTGAATTACCTGGACCAAGCCATGATAATGTGAAGGAAATCATCGAGTTGGGGGAGAAACTTAAGCTCATCCTTGACAACGACTCAGACAAGCATCGGTATGAAGTGTCTAATAACCATCTGACGAAAGTTATGGAGCCGTATATCCAGACCTATCTCGACAACATCAATGCTAGTCGTCAACATAGTATTGAGGACTTCCTCGCCCGTAACCCACCACAACCACAGCCAGCCCAAGTCAGTGATAGTGTAATTGACAGTGAGGATATGAACTTTGAGAGGTTTGTCTGGGAGGCCCTGCAAACCTCTGCGAGTAGTGAAAGTGAAAGTGATTCACCGGAGGGCAACTAATCTGCCCCCTGCCTTGGAACCAGCCGCCATCCACGTGTGCCGACCCAGCTTTTCTACTAAGGTAAGTGTTAAAAAACTTAATATTATTGATATTTCTCTGAATTATTAATTGTGTGCATACACCATCATAAAATTAAGATGTTATTTTGACTACAACGTCCATATTGTGTCGGAAAAAGTGGAGTTTGGGGGTCGGCCCAGTCTCTATTTCAATTAATCCCATATGTTCTGTTACTTCATTTACGCGTTTCTCGTTTTACGCGGGCCTCTATGGGTTCAATTGACCGCATAAATGCAGACTATACTGTATATTGCTCTAAAAAAAAAAACATTTTTACTAATCAGACCAGAAAAACAAATAAAAAAATTTCATTGTCAAAATCAAATTTCTGAGGAAGTTCAAAGATATCATCCCTCTTAAGCAATATCTTTCAAAGTAGGATATTTTTAATTAGAAATGGAAGATAGAAGGGTTGATAGGTAAGAATTATTATACAGTACAAGATGAATTAATTTTTGAACGCTTGACAGGAAAATGCAAATGAACTCCCAAACACTTACTTCTGACATTATTCCATATCACTTATAAGTTGTACATTATATGACACCCAAATATCACGCCACATTAGGAAAAGAGCCAGAATTCTGAAACCCCGCATAAGGGTGATTCTAATGACTTGTGATGATAAGAGTCTTGTATACCATCATATTTCAAAGCTTTTCAAGAAACTAATAAAGTCGCTGCTACTGTAAGGCCTCTGTCAGTCTCCAAGTCTTAAAAGACAATTTAAAGATTTCCCTTCAGGGGTAATTTCAGAACTAAGGCCAGCGAGTCTGGGTTAGGACTTACTTAACACTCTCAGCCCCATCAAATCTAAACCACCCAAATCCATTGTTGCTGCTCTCGTGCTTTTGACACAGAATTTTGAGGGGCGAGTGGATGTGCCGAGGAAGGGGATGTCTGCTCATGAGTCGAGCTCTTAAACGAGTGAGCTGTCTCCATGATGGCATAGTGAGTACCATTGTAAGCAGCATCCACCACTGCACTCTCTGGTGCCTCCATAGTTGTCGTCTCTACTGTGTAGTCTGGAGGAAGAAAGTCAGAAATACACCATATCCCAAAATTCATAGAGATGCTTGTTTAAATAAGCATGAAACAGAATTAACAGGATACAGAAGAACTTGATCAATAATAAAAGAAACAAATGGGCCATAGACAAAGCCTTAAGTAAGTAATTGAGTACAGTATATATATCCAAATTAACTACAATCCAACTCTCATTTTATCTATTGAAAAAAATATTAATAATTCTAATTTGAACCTTTTTTTAATATGATCACTAACCTTTTCTTGGCACTGCTTCTGTTGGATATCAATAAATAACGACCATATTCTTCTACTGCATGGAAATCTTTAAGCATGCTATTCAGTGAATGGCATTGTTATGTTAAATCATATTTGCCAACCAATACAACTCAAACTATCATACAGTACACTGCTACTTATTCAGGGTTCATATATCCAAAAGCCTCAAACCAAAGGCATTTTTTTTCCACTTCAAACTCCAGCATTTATAATTTATAATGCTAAATAATTTCATCACTGCTGATGTGGTCCTCTACAGTTGTCCTTCATATTCTGTAGTTCTCCTTTACATCAATATTTATGTAACGATGTACAATACTCTCCTTTAAAGTTTAATACTGCAAACTGATATCTAAATATTGAGGGAGGAAAGATAGTGTGGTAGTGATCAAGGAAATGAAGGTGGGACATTTGGGAAATTTCAACTGCTTCCAGAGGGAGGAGGTGTATTGCCCTTTTATATCTACTGTACACTGTATTTTATTTAGAACAACTGTAGTTCTCCTTTCCAATAATATGTATTTATATGTACAATGCTTCCATTAATAATTTAGCAGTGCATATACATACCATATTTTTTACTTATAAGACTTTTACTTACTTTTTACTTTTATCCTCTTCACCACTGATCGGCTCATTAGCAGCTTGGGCGAACGGTCACGTCTCTGTTACGCACTGTTGGCAAGTACTGGGCATGCACCGGCTCCTGAATGTACCTGAACCCACTCCAGTGTTGGTCAAGTTTTGTCTTGAAAAAGCTCACACTCGGTGCCGTCACAACACTTTCTGGTAGATTGTTCGAAGAGTTCACAACTCTCACTCCAAAAAAGTTTGCCCTCAAAGTATTCTTGACTTGCGGCTTCTTCAATCTTGAGCTATGACCCCTTGTGGGGTGAGCGTCCGCCAGCTCCAAGTAAGGACACTCGACTGAGTAGCGCCCTTGAAATGCTTATACACCTCTATTAGGTCGCCCCTTGCCCTTCTGTAATATAAGCTAGGCAAGTTCAGGTGCTCCAATCTCTCAGGGAAGCTGAGGTGCCAAAGGGCAGGCACCAGTCTGGTGGCCCTCCTTTGAACATTTTAAACCAACTGACAGTCCCTAGCATATCTCGGGGACCAGACGGGGTGACAGTACTCCAGATGGGGAAGCACTTTACTCTTGAAGATCGTTATGAAGGACGGACCGTCTAGATATCTGAACGACCTTCTTATAAGACCAAATAATTTATTTGCCTGATTTACCTTCTTCTCACAATGGCCCGAGAACTTCAGCTCATTGTCAACATACACACCTAAGTCCTTCTCACACACAGTCTCAAATAATGCAGTTTCTTCATCCCGTTGGGACATACATGATACGCCTCCTTACCGTTGGTACGCCCCAGGTGCATCCTCTTACACTTCGTGACATTGAATCTCAGCAGCCATTTCTTCGACCATTCTTGGAGCCCACAGAGGTCCTTCTACAGCTCATCAAAGTCCGCTTGGTTCTTGATTTCCCGAAAAAACTTGGCGTCATCGGCAAACATTTGTATGGAGGATTGTACAACGTCAGACATGTCATTTATAAAACAAACAAACAACAGCGGGCCCAATACACTGCCCTGTGGTACTCTGCTTGTGACAGGTACGGATGATGATTTCGTGCCTTTAATCACCACACACTGCTTGCGGTCATGTAGAAAGTCTTCTATCCACGCTAGGACATTTCCCTGAATTCCATACCCTTCCAGTTTGATTTTCAGCCTTTCGTGGGGTACACTGTCGAAAGCCTTGGCAAAATCTAGGTAAATATTGTCGATATTACCACCCCGTTCCAGAATATGGGTCCAAATATCCAATACCTTGAGCAGGAGCGCACCGGCATAAAACCGTGTTGGCAATACTTTACAAGGTTGTTTCGTAGTAGATGTTCCATCGCGGCATCTCTGATAATACTCTCAAGTACTTTACATATTATGCTGGTCAGGCTCACCGGTCTATAGTTGTTCGAGGAGTGACTATCGCCCTTCTAGAAGATAAGGCTCACATAAGCCACTTTCCAATCACTGGGGACCTTTTGTTCATCCAGGCATTTACAAAACAGGATCTTCAGGGGCTAGGCAAGCTTGTTGCACAACTCTCTTAGCACTCTAGGATGCACCATGTCAGGGCCGGGACTCTTAAGGACCTTTAGCTTTGACAGTTTATTTCTAATACCCTCTTCTGTGAACACAATATGGGTCAGTGCTGTGTCGAACCGTCTGTCCTCAAACGCAGGAAGGTGGATCGCATCCTCTCTTGTGAACACCAAGGAAAAGAAGCTGTTCAATGTATGATATATATGGACACAAAGTAGTACCTTCAGCTGTATATTATTATATTACTCTTATATTACTCCATTAATTATGTATAGTAAAGTATTACAGAACATGTATTAATTCTATGTAATATTCTATTTATTGTGCACCCTATTATGTATATAAATTATCACATTTATACTTTATGTATTCAGCTTGTGAATGCTGGCATCTGTATAGGCCAGCGCGTAGTAATACATAGATAGATGTAGAAGTAGTCAAGACCGAGTCCTGGTGGCGTGCCCACAGGCTTTCGCGTCCTACTGTATTATCTCCCGTACGAGAATAGAACCTACTTTTAAAGACAACAAGTGTTTGTATATACCCTCAGTAGTATAGAACATTCTTTGGGTATCTGGCAATACGCTAGATTCAATGCCTCAGCTTTATCCTGGTCAGAATCTGCGTAACTACCATCTTCAAGCCTCAGGTCTGATACTCCTACTCGCGTTTTTAATTTCGACTTTGCATAGCGGTAAAACGCCTTTGGGTTTGACTTGACCTCGCTTGCAACCAGCCTCTGGAACTCCTTTTCACCCCTTCTACATTCTATCTTTGCTTGGTTTCTGGCTCTTGCATACATCCTCCTTTCCTGCTCATCATTTGACCCAACCCACGTCTTGATTTTCTAGGTTTTTTTCTTAGCTTTGTCGACGCACTTTTTTATTTGAAAAAATGGCTAAAAAAAATCATCCCCTATCCAAGATGTGAAGTTTAAGTCTCCCGTATGGTAATGAATCCCACAGTTGCTTTCTCCAGTAGGCTAAATTCTACCTAACCCAACTCCAGAATTAAAAATATGTTATTACTTACTTAAACACATTACAGTATTATTATTTTTAAATAATTAAAATAATTACGTACCCCGTATTGCAAATATAAAAGCTCGATTTATAACTACAGTTATTTCTTCTACAACGCGTGTTTTGTCAACGCGAATTGGCTATAATGCAATTAATGAATAGAAGAACGATATTTGTAAAACGCGAATGCGTGTTGGCTGTAGCGTTGTTCCACTCGAATGTTTTAAGTGTACCGTCGCTTGGAGCGGGGTTATACAGTGTTTACAGTTCACGTTCGACATCACATGTTCAATTGATTCATGTGTTTTGTTTGTGAAGTGTTATTTGATAGGGACTTTATAAATTTCATCCTTTTTTTTGGGGGGGCAAATTTAGCTGTTCCCATAAATACTGAATGAAAAAATAAATAAAAATAATGTTTCACAGTGCGGACTAATAGCGTTTTACACCCACGCTCTCTGTTTCCATCACACGATCAGTTGAAACACGTGGGTTGTTTTGAAGCATCCTCAGTGATTTTTGCTTACTATTTCTCCAATTTTGTGGTATTAACTGTGAATATGGAAAAGAAGAATATCTCCAGGAAGTGTTCTGGTGATCGCATTCCCGGTGGTGATCTTAAAAGAAAGGCTATAACACTTGAAGAGAAGCTTGATGTTATCAAACATTTTGAACGTAAGGAATGTAACATTTATTTAGACTGTGCTATCCTTCGTGTTAGGCTAACTACTAATTTTTTTTTCGATTTCAAGTAATCTGCATCTAACCCTATTTTCTCCATAAGCCCTGTTATTTCTATTGCGCGAATTTCTACAACGCGAGGTTTTACAGGAACACAACTATCGTGTTGTAGCAGAACTGACTGTACTGTACTATACAGTGACCCCTCGGTTAACGAACTCAATCCGTTCCAGAAGGTCGTTCGTTAACCGAAAAGTTCGTTAACCGAAACCATTGTTTCAATGGGTTTTTGGGTAATTGGTTCCAGCTCACTGAAAATTTCCTAAATTCAACAAAAATGGTAGAAAAGTTCACTTACTTTGAGGTGTGTATGTAGAAGGCTCCTGGATGATGATGATGATGATGATGATGATGGGATTTAGAATGGGGGTGGAGGAGAAGGAAGAAGAGAAGGCATTGGGGTGGAAGAGAAGTCACCCCATGGCGCCATTTCACCAATAAAATTTTAGCTCTCTCGGTGTAATTCAAGATATTTTCTTTAAATCAACACTGCACTGCATTATATATTGTCAATATGTAAAATATATTTCAAAATGACCAATAATTTGCTTGGAAACACAGAAAAAAAGCGTTTAGTTGAAGAGAGTCTCAAGCAAGATGTTACCTCCAGTGAAAACAGAGAGAGACTAACGCCTGTTTGCTGTGTTATGAGGCTGGATGCCGCGCATTAAACTAGTCACTTTACCTTCAATTATGTTCAATAATTGTTAAAATCACTAAAAAATTGAATATTAAACTTTTAAAATTATTGTATAGTATAAACTTCTTGATATTTACTAAAATAGTAAGGAATTTAAGCCCTAGAACCGATTAATGTATTGGCGGACTGATACTAAA